AGAAGATTAATGAGTTTTGGTGGTGTTTTAATTAGAAGGTTTGGATTCTATTTGCTTTCAGTTTTGTTGGAGTGTGGAGATTGAATTAAAGAAAAATACAGATAGTGCAGGAGATTTTGTTCAAGGAAAATAAGGAACGAGCTGTATTATCATCTAACATATAACATCAAGACTCAAGTTTGGGTTTACTTCTTACTTTTCCTGATGCAAATATTCTAATTTATACAAACTTCTGCATAATCAAAAATTGCTAAAATGCCTTATAAAACTCAGTACAGACTGGAATGAAGGTCCAGGTTCACATTTATTTAAACTGACTGATGGTTCTATGCTGGAAAATCATGATGCCCTTCTCCTGCCTAAAGACCTGATTTTATTTTCAAGAATTTGATGTTATGGTAGTAAGCAATGTTATTAAAGCACTTACTCATTTTAAATCATCCAGTTCCTCTAACACTATCCAGATTCAGTACCTACAGTATGGTTTTGCTAGAAGCATCTCTAAGATGCTATCAGCATCTAAATCTCATCTTTTCCCTTGGTTGTAAATTACATTTCTCTAAGTCCTAATCTCAGGTGTATGCTTGATTTGTGTGTTTTGGTTGTCAGAATTTGATAGGGATAGACCACTGATAGTGCAGATAACAGTAAAGTGAGACATGTCAATCAAAGCCTTTACAGAATTAGTGGAGGTTTGGAGAATTGCTCCTGGCACATAGCAAATGACAGTGGTTGAACAACATTGATTTCTCAAGAATTAAAATAAAAAGAAAGATTCTACCAGTAAATGTGACTCACTTATAGTCTAAATCTTCCCCAAAGCAGGAAGAATATGCTTCAAAAAAACCTGCTTTGGAGAAATGCTGGCGTGCTGTTGCCACTAAGGCAACCAACGCACACCACGCTCTCTGGAGCCTCTAATTGGCTGCAGCACCCCTCATTTTGGCTAGGAGGGCAGTAAGGGGTCAGTGAATCGGATGCCCACCTGGGACCGGTGGCCACAGTAGCCAAACCATATAAATAGAGGTGCACAGGACATTTTGTCCTGCCTTCTCTTCTGGAAGCTGCCACCATGTGACTCTTGGCAGTAACTATTTTTTTCTCTCTTTCTTCTTTCTTCACTCCTTCTCTCTGCTCTTCCTTTACTCTTTTCTTCCTCTTGTGGGTAACTTAAAACCAATGGACTGTATTTCACTAATTTGTGGGTCGTTGTGTGTTGGGTTGTTTGTTAGTCCTGTAAAACCCTTTTGCCAAAATGCCTATTTTCACACTAAATTCAAAGAAATTCTCTTGAGAAAAAAAAGTGTGTAGCCTTTTCTCTTTATGCGATTCAAGATATCAAAGAACCAAAGGCTCTGCAAGAGTTTGGTTGAGCACTTCTTCTCAGCAGTAGGCCCTGGCAGCTTGCCTTCAGCAATGCTCCTGTGTACATCAGTCTGACAAGATATGCCATCCAGAGGGATGATGCATCTGGCAGGCTACATGCTCCCTTTCTGGGAACACCGAGCAGCAGCTTGGTTATTTCTGGAGCTGACTCACTTCATCAGCCACCTGCACCACACAGCAATGTTGGTAAACTCAGAGTGTGTTCCAATACCGCAATTCTGCCAGGTTTGCAAAGACCTTCCTTGGGAGGCAGAGCCTTTGCATCGGGGCCACAAGACTCCCTTAGGTTGCAAGGGCTAAAGAAGGTCAGAGGATTTTGATCATATTTACTAGAGTTGGAGTTGACTTCATGCAACTTGAAGATTAAGGAAGGGGTGGGCAGCTGTGCAGATCACATTTGAGCATGCTTCTGAGGGAGAATTGCCTCCAACCCTCAGTTAGGTAGCTCTTACAGGGGTCAGCCTCCTTATTTATGCCAGCAGCTGAACTGCATTTACACCACTGTGTTGCACTTCTTCAGTCAGAAAGCTTGGGCTTGAGATGGATGCCAGAAAGCAACCTGAAAAGGGTTATTTGAGTTCAGTCTCACAATGCACAATGTGAGAGCAAATCACTAGATTTAAATAAATAAATAAATAAATAAATAAAATAAAAATTTAAAAAGCACTCTTGTCCTGGCCCAGCTCTAATTTCCCCGTTTATTTGATTTGTTGGGGAAGAGAAGATCGACACATTATCCGGGGTACCAGACCTCACCTTGCATTTATTCAGTGCTGTCAGACACAGAATTAGAAAGAAAGACCAATTGAATGTATGGGTGGCAGAAGGCAGGTTAATGTGGCATAAGTAAAGTGTCTTATTATAAACCTGTATTTTGTATTTAAAGGGTAGAAAAAAAGTGTAGATGAAAAGCTCCTAGTTCTGTCACTAAAACTAGAATAAACGGATAAACCACAGAAATAAGAAAAGCAGTTGAACTAGATGAAAAATGATGAAAAAAGACTTCATGTAAGAATTGCCAGATTTAAAAGACAGATCAGAAAAGAGCTTGAGGAAGTGCAAAATGAATACAGATCAGGTGAGAATGGGATTTCATGCAAGTTATTTTAGAAGGATATTTCTACAGTAACTTGCTACTGAAGAAACCACTTTCCAGTAGAGACAGATATTAAAATTACTCTCTCTCCCAAACCCCATATACAAAGGTGTATGGGTTAGCCCATTTGTCTTTGCAAACAGTCGGTGTGGCTTTTCGCACATGAGTTGCATTCCCCACCTAAGAGTTTCACAACCTAAGGCAATTTCACAACCTGTTTTCCAGATTTTTTTAAGAGCACCTATTTCTTCTGTTAGCAAGATCCTCGACCCTCATAGGGAGTCAGAAGTCATTCACTCTTGCACAGATCCTGCTGCTGTGATCATGTTTGATGGTTTTATGTTATTTCCATGCTTTACTCCCCGTTCTCAACCAACAGCATCTTGGTGAGTTACAGCTACCAACACAGACCATGCATTGAGCAAGTGAAGGAGGAAGCAGTCAGATGACATTGCTGATACATGCAGTGCTTTTTATGGGGATAGTCACAGTAATGTCTCTCACAAAGCATGAGCTACTTTACCAGATGATTCTGGCTGTTCAACTTCCAGCAGCAAATAGAAAGACTTTCACCTGGCACTGAATACATAGTCTTCACAAAAGAAGATTTCACCCACTGTAATGTACTCTGCATCACTCAAATCTTACCTATAGTAATACCCTTCATTTGCAGCTGCTCATGGAAGCAGAGTGGACATAGCAGGTTATCCAAAAAGAAATAACTCAGCTGTCTCTTCAAGAGAACAGATGGGTGAAAATCACTACAGGACTATTTCACATCTTGCATGTTCTCAGCTGGAACTCGAGCATCTGGTTCTCATTTTCCAGGTTGTCTGTGATGGAGGACTCCAGCTCTTCACTTCAGCTCCAATTCCTTCATCATCTGCAACCAACCCACAAACCCTGCTTGAAGGCTGTAGTAAACCAAGCTCTCTTTTAGTTAAGGTCTTTGTGCATCTAGACAGGGCAGGGCTTAGCTGTCTACAAGATCTTCTGAGTGAGCTCAAAGAAAGCTGTGGTTAAGAAATTTCAGGATAAAAGATTTTGGTGCCAATAGAGTTCCTAACTTCAAATTCCTGCTAGTGGAAATTAAGGACAGAAGAGAACTGTTTATACCAAACTTTGGCCATGATTGTGTTCAAACTGAAGTCCAAGAATTGCTCTTTCCCTTGACAGTCCTCTGACTCCACAAAAGGGGGAAAAGAGGCTACTGAAGAGGTGCAGAGCAGCATGAAGGGGACAGAGGCAGCCTCTCAAATGTCTCAGCAGCTGTTCATGCTTTAACACAGATTGGCATCTTGGAAATGAGAGACATGTCTGGAATTTATAAGATTCTAAGCACTATGAAGCAATTTGGTTGAACACAAACCAGACTGCAGCAGTGACAAAATGAATCCATATGAGACAGCTTTTCCAAAAAGAAAAATGTCATTGGCTGCCATGTTACAATATACATTTTAAGAAAAAATACAAGGTTGCTTTGGTAAGAAGTTAACACCTATATGAGATGCTGAACAAATGTAAAGAGCTACGTTGTAATTTGAAAGTTATTGCAATCAGCTAGGTAACAACAGCTTACAATTCTCCAGTCTTTAGTGACAATATTTGACTGTACAGTGATCCAAAAAAGGTGCATCAGGTGCTCTGTAGCTCTGTTTTGGAAAAAAGTGTGTCTACACACTCCTGTCTCTCTTTTTATACACCTACACAGACACATAAACAGCTGGTGAAGCTGAGCTCCCATTCTCCCAGAAGCATACAAGAAAACAGTGTTCAACTCAAATGACTAGTAGATCTTATTTACAGTTGCTGCAGCTCTGGGAGTTCCATGGTACCAACTTTGTTATCTGGTAGGCAGACTGCAGAGCAACAGTATCCAATGGGAAATGCAGAGCTTTTGAGTGAAGACTGTAGTGTTGGGAAAAAACAAATCAAAGAAAAACTCCCAATGCTCAATGAAAAAATAACTTTAAAAGCAAACAACATCCTTTGTCTTGATGACAGACAGTATTTATTTCCTTCCGCATCACAAACCTGAAGTCAATTGCAGTTTACATGATCATCCTTGGTATTGTCCAGTGTATTGGAAGATAGCTCTTATAGCAAATAGCTTGCAACCCAAGCTGCTATTGCATGTCCATGTTATTCAATAGAATAATGAGATAGATTATTAAGAAGGTTTATGAAGAGTTTAGCTAAATGAAGAAGATTATATTTGTTGCAATTTTTCATACCATCCTGTTGTTTTGGAGGGTGTGAGGAGCACCTCCTTTCCTTCCTCCCCATATAGGGCAAGGGCAGGGAGGTCCTGCAGGAGATACTGTGAGAACTTAGTAGGATAAGTTTGCTGGCATGGCCTGAACACCCTCTCTCTTGTTCTGGTGGGTGGTGCAAGGGCAGGAGTGCAGTCGGGCTTCTCTCTCCTGTCATGGGTTTTCTTTTTGGTTCTGGCCATTCACCCCAGATTCTGCCTCCTCGCTGCCAGAGCTGCTGCCACCTCCTGCCACTTCCCCACTGATCAGAGCCATGCTGTTTCCCCGCTGTTGGTAGCCATTGCCGCAGCTGCTGCCGCCCCATTCCAGCTTCCCACTGATTGGAGATGTGCCTTTTTCCTGCTGCCTGGAGCCACCGCTTCCATGTTGCTGCTGTTGCTATGGGCAGTCCCATTGCCACTGCTGCCACCAGTGCCTCTGCCTGGAGCCACCACTTCCACATTGCTGTTGTTGCTTCCACCAGTGCTGCTGCTGCTACCGCTGGCACCTCTGCTTGGAGCCACTGCTTCCATGTCACTGTCGTTGCTGCTGCCAGCACTGCCGCTGCAGCCACACTTGAGGAACTCAGGAGTCTCCTTGGTGAACTTTTCACACATTGCCTGCTTGCGCAGCCACAACTCTGCTCCAGCTACATTGTGATTGTGTGACTGGGTCGGGACAGTGCTACCATCTCACTGGCACAGAACTGAGGATGATTTAGGTGACATTTTCTCCACTATTGTTTGTGCCGTAGTTTGGACTTGGCTCCCCGCCAAGAGCCCAAGATCGCAGCAAGAGGCTTCCCTCCCCCACTTCTATGAACACAGGGGAAGGAAAAGTAAGAAGAAAGAAAAAAAAACCCAAAAGACCAAAATAACAGAATCAAAGCAGTGTATATATTTACACTTATATACGATTACAAAAAAACTATATACATATAAGAAAGAGAACCCCAACACCCCAGAAAAACCAAAAAACCCAGATACACACAGCCAAGAAAGAACTAGCAAACAAAAATCTTAACACTTTCCTTAAGAACGCAAAGTCCACACCACCAGAGCCCTCCTCTCGAATTGGGAAGAAGTAACAGGGAGACTGCCTGCCTTCTCCTACTCTGCCGGAAGAGGTCTAACCTTCCGACTTCCTTCCCCCTTCTATTTATATTTCTGCTTACGTAGAAAATAGAATGGAATATTGGGATATGGATACTTCCTTAGTTTCGACCTGGTTGCCAGGAAGAGGTCTAAATCAAACCACTACAGGTTTTTTTTCTTTGTTCTGTTTTGTTCTCTGTTTTTAGTAAAACTGATATTCATTTTCCATACTTCACTCAAACACCTCATAATTTCAAAATTTTTGTAATTCGAGAGGGAAGGGTTTTCTATTCCATTAGAGGTCCTACACCCTGGGACATAACTGTCAGTAAACCACGAGAATAATTTGGTGTTTCCCAACGTAGGACATTCAGAGAAAACATGGAAAAAGAATAACAGTTTTGAATAATCCATCTGTGTATTGGATATAGAACCCCTCAGGCATCACGTTCAATTTATTCCTGTTTATTTGGCAAGTATTCCTGCATATGTATTTTCCATTCATAGGTGTTTATGTCAAAACAGGTTCTAAAACCAAGGTAGCTGTAGCTGTTTTTCAGTTTGTAACTTAGATTCATGGGGTTGTAAATTCTATGTCTATAAGTCTCCTCTGGAATGTGTTTTCAGGGCTGTGTTCCTACCCTAACCTAAAGCTGTTATCCCTGGAATTTTAGTGATAATGGCACCCAATCTGGGGGAGAAATGCAGGGGAGCATTTTTTCCCCAGTCCTTCACCTACTTCTCCTTCAGGTTCGCTACAACAGTTTTTGAAGAGTTGAAATTCCCTCTGGATGTTCGAGATGTTTGGCAGTTTGCATATTTTGCTCTATCTTACATATGAAAGTAGGACTAAGAGCTGTCTGGAATGTGTCCAGGAGTTTTGAGTGGCATGGGTTATGGGAGTACACGAGTGAGTTCTTGGAGATCGTTACTGCTCCAGTGACCTGGACATTCACCCTTGAAGAACTGCAGGACCCTGTCAAGATGTTGAGATCAGTGAGGGGAAAGTGCCATGATAGAGCTATGGAGGAGCAGCTTGTGGTTGCACGTGGAGCCCTGGCTACTGAAATGTCTCAGTTTAATCAGACTGAAGTATTTTGCTAAGTAGGATGAGTTATGAGGAAGACCAAACTCCTCCCTCTAAGCAATTGTAAATCCAAAATTAAGAGGCTCGAATTGAGGAAGTATGGAAAAAGGAAAAATAAAATATATACGTATTGGCAGAACAACAGAAGAACACAAAAACAACCAAACAATAATCCCATACCCAAAAATCCCCTTCAAAAAGGGAAACAGTTCAGTACCTTTTGCCTTTTGGTGAAATTCTAACCACAGTCAGCAGGGGCACCGTTGGATCACTGGAGGAGCAGAGCCTGCAGTGCTCGGTGTTGGTCAGCAGGGGACGCTGTTGGGCTCTGGCGGTTGCCACATGGGGCCCTGGAGCGTGGGAGAAGCCAAAAATGGAGATCTTCCACACACCGAGAAGGGGAAGGGGAAAAAAGGCTGTTCCCAGAAAACTCACACTGTCTGCAGCTGGCTGGGGCCGGGAATTCCCCCTTTTTGTCAATGAACACATGCCACTGCCAACACGGGAGCAGAGGAGGGAGAAGGCCGACTTCCTCCCCAGAAAGTTCCTCTGCAGGTGGGTCAAACCCCTCCAATGAAGTCCGAGCAGGTCTGGGCTGGGGGCAGAACAGGGTGCAGGCAAGCCGAGGTCAGAAAACAGCCAGATGACCAGGCTGAAAACAGAGTGAACCTCTGACCCCTCAAACACACACCTTGCCTGAGTTAAGGCAAAGGTGAAGCGTCCCATTTCTGAGTAGGGAAGAAAAAAAAACACTTATTACCCCTTCTCACAGTTTTTAGGAGGGCCATCAGCTTGGAATGCAGGTCTGCTAGTTCTTTTGTGTCAATCAATCACCCAAGGCAAACCACCCTCCCCATTCAACATCTTTCTTTTACAGAGAGGCAAGGGGAAAGAAAAAAATTTCCTGCTTGGTTTTTTAGAACAAGTAAACCTAGGACACGAAAGCTGCTTGGTATGGTGCAACACCTTCAGGAGGAAAAGAAAGAAAACAAAACACCTGACACCATGGCAACTCAGAGTGTAACAGAACCAGAAGGACAACGCAAGCCAATGGAAGTTGCCCCTATCCAAATGAGAAAATACAAGACCAAATTGTTTCACCCAGTAGATGACGATGGGGAGGTGAGACCCTCACAAATAACAGACCCAGAAATAATCACTGAATATCTTTAATTTGATAATTTCTGTAATTTGTGGAGAGACATCACTCAAGGACTGGATGAACCTATTCTGACTTCATTGATTTGAGTCTGGAATCTTATGGGTGAAGGTGCACTGCTTGGCGGTAGCAAAGCAAGGCATTTAGGATCCCTGTCTCAGGATGTGGGTACTAACTAGGGAGTCAGAACCCCTCCATCTCCAAACACAGCTTTTAAGAAGCATAAGAGAGAGGTTTGCTCACAGAGACAATCTGCAGGGGAATCATCTTTGTACCTGGGAGACCATGGAAGATGGGATCCAATGTCTGAGAGAAATGGCACTGTTAGAGATACTTTTCACAAGGGACAAGCAATCCAATAGTGACCCTGACATGGTCAAGTGTACATCACAGATGTGGTGGAACCTCAATGTGCAGGGCCACCATATATGTTGATTTCCTGGTGACAATGCACTGGAATGAAAACAAAGAAACAGTAGGTTCTATGATGAGTACACTCAGGACATATAATGAGATTGTCCATGCCCCACTATGGGCCCATATCTCTTCTGCTGAAAAATTAGTTGTGGACCTCTGGGCAACTATGACCACAAAAAACTCAAGAGAAGAGTTTAAAGAGAGCATTGTCCATGTCTCACCAGTGCAGAATGGAGCCCTGCTATCCAGAACAGGCATCCCCTGGCTAGAGAGAGAGAGTACACTACATAGGGCAACCTGTGGTTTATCCCATGAACATGGGGAAGACATGAGTAAATGGGAGAGAAAACCCACCTATGCTTTATCAGTACGGGCACAGGAGTTAAAAGGAAAAATGATCAGAGGCAATTCCATGAGGATGGATGTAGCCCCAATCTTCCATGGGCAAGCCCCTAGACAGAACCGGAGGGACTTATCTTCTCTGTTTGACTGAATAAAAGTTAGTGGTGGTTTGAAGTTTTGTTTTGCTTCAAAACAAAGAAAAAGAGTTTGGAAATAAGGAGAAAAACTCTGGGAGCAGGACAGAAAACCACACCAGTATAATTTCCCAACAGAAGCTAATACAGTTCTTCAGCAGGGAAACCAAAAAAAGTGTTCACAATACAATTGCAATAGAAACCTCAATTTCTACAGTACATTTGTTTCTGTAAAGTAGTCTGTTGCCCAGAGAAAAAGATTCAAGTGGACTCAGATAACTGTCCTCTAATAATCCATATTGCAAGTCCCTTATGCTTTTTGCTCTATGGAAAGGCAGGTTTCTCAAGCCATGAATTGCAGGTGGCCTTTCTGAGATGCCAGGCCTGCACAGCATGACAGCTGAATGCAAAATAATGCAGTTAGTAGGGATTGTTGCTTCAGCAATTAATCATGTTGTTCCTGCAGGCAAAAATTTTGGTACTATTAAACCTTCTCCAGTGAGTAAAAAGTGACAGAAATCACACACATCTTGTAAAAGTCAACAAAGGTTGCAGATGACCTTTCTGCATTTTGTTTGTGGTCAGGCTCTTTGGAGATAAACTGCATGGGAAAGACTTGCAGCATTACACTCTGCTTTCAGGCCAGGTCTGTGTTTGTCACATTTCCAACAAGCAGCAGGAAACTAGAAACACTGAAATCTCAACAACATGCAGCCTTTTCTGAGCTCCTCTGGATCCATATTTTAGTCCTGCTGTATGTTTGGTCCATTAGCAGGGGCTCTGCCCTCACTGTAGGCCTGAAGTCCATTTGTGCAAAATAGCAAAACATTTGGGGTGGAGGGCAGCATCCCAAAATGCCCATCTCTAGATCCTTCTAGGCTTTCCGTTTTTTGTCCATGTACTTGGCTGCCAGTGAAGCAGGTAAGGTTTGGTGTATCTATCCCCCACTGAGACCCCTGGATGCTGCAGTTCACAGTATACTGAAGAACATCAAAAAGACAAAATACAAGGTTATTGATGAATGTGTTTCTAAAAGCACACAGCATGGAAAAAAAGCCAGAGTCTAACCATGGAAGAGAGAAAAGGAGAGAAGTATCACTGCATATTTCCTATCTATCTATCTATCTATCTATCTATCTATCTATCTATCTATCTATCTATCTATCTATCTATCATCTATCTATCATTTCACATGGCAGTATGGCACAAACAAATGTTTTATCTAAGCACTGATTTGTACAATTAAAGCAGAAGGGTTTCAGGGCCTAATTATAAATTCAGATCATACATGAATATATATTTCAATATATTACTATTGAGTGACTTCCCAGCATAAAAGAGTTATCTCAATATGTCAGTCCACACTGCAACCAAACTCAAAATG